AATCGAACGAGTAATCAAAGCAAACGTGCAATAAATAGCAACGCGCACCAGACCAGCTGGTGCAATTATGCGTTTTGTGCAATTCGGCCCATCGAACAATTGCCCGTTAATGATTTTCACTGCTTCGTACTTTTGTCTATGCAAAAATAGTTCAAACATTGGAAAAAAAAAGATAAAAATTTCACGCACCAGCGCATGAAAGCTGAATTCGAAACCTTGAAGGGCGAGTATCTTTCCGTGATTCCTGAGTTAATAGTTTACCCGCCAAAATTCTCACGAGGTCGTAGGTGACACTCAAGAGCGAGGGAACGATGAACTTGAATAGACACGGCTGAGCGTCGGCAGGGGGTTATTACCCTAAAATTTCAGCCTCCTAGACTCCGTGGTTCCAGAAAAAAACTTTCACGGGGCCGTACGTGTTACCCGCGGGTACGGGTAGGCTGAATTTAAATTTGCAGCGTCATCCGTTGGGGAGAACACTATACCAAAATTTCAGCAGTCTAGCTTTTGTGGTTCGTGAGTTGAAAGTGCGGGACAAAATGTGGGACACACACGCACAGACAACCCCGTGACAATATGCGTTTTGTGTTGTGAATGGAAAGAACGAAAAAGTGAAGGATCGAGGCAAGTAGCCGACAGTAACAAGCGATTTAATGGAGCTAGAAGCACACAATGAAATTTACATGAATTATAGCAAAAATTAGATTTTGCCATGAAAATATGTTGTTCTCTTTGGAACCTGCTCGACACTGAAATGGCAGGTGCATATGCAAATGGCATACTTACACGACGTGGGACGTTTATTTTGCCTCCCAGTTTGGCATACAAAGATTTGATCTCGTCCACATCTAATGACACAATCAGACGCCATTCATCCGTACCGCCGCTTAAATGTTCTGAAAAGAACATTGTTTTTGGGAGAGTCAAGGTAATCAGTGCAGAAGAATATACAGCTTTGTTTTTGCTGTAATGATATCTGCGCAGGAAACATAAGTAAATGTGCACACCTGCGATCCACCATATTTCTTGAAGAACGGATTTTCGAGCATCCGGATAATGATATGGGCCATACGGTACAAGAAGGTGTTATTATATCACAATTACTTCGATATGCACGCATATCCACCTTCCCAGATGGGTTTCTTGACTGGGCTAGACGCCTTATAAATATCCATAGACAAAAAAAGTTTGATACTGCCAAACTAGAACGTTCCGTTTTCAGATTTTGCTTCAGGAACCGATCAGTACTCAGCAAATTCATCTACCCTGATGATGCAGGAATTAAAGACTTAGTTAATACGTTATTTTCATGAAAATTGCCTCCTCATAGCTACATAGAATTGCTGCCCATATCGTATGTTAGTTTCCTTCACACTCTTATTGCTTTCATGCTGTTGCACTTTTCCACTTTCTCTCTTTTTCTTTCACGTCTCCGTCTTGCAAAATAGTTACATGTCCCTTCAATACATGGCGGGTAGGAGGCTGTACTGATGATTCCCACTCCTACCTGCATGCACACTTGGGTCTGTGTTCACAGCTAAAGGATGATTCACAGGCTGCATCGTAAAATGTCTTTTTGTACATGACACTTAAGTCGAATCCTTCTGCTCTACTATTCAATAGGTAAGGCCAAAAACCGCGAGTTTCTGCATTCGCCAAAAACCGCAAGTTTCAGTTCCTGGCATGTATTGCTCCTATTCCAAAGGATATGATGTATTCGCGTAGCAGATAAGAACCCTTGGCCGAAAACTGTGGCTTCAAAATTTATCTACGGAGCTTTCGCGATCATGAACTTGAATCAAGACGACGGAGAAACACAGTTAAAGCTTGACTCGCTATAACGGCTTATGAAATAAAATGCAAGTTAAGAATTGCACAAAAGAATCTGCTGGCAAATTACCGTTGATTTCAGATGGACTTGGTACCGCAACGACCTCATTTTCAGGGATCTCTTCCCACTTCCCGAAATATTCTTCGCCGATATCGGGACAAGCCTAAAACGATATCAGGTGAACAGTAGGTGCCAAATATGTATCAGAGTAAATTTTTGCAATAAAAAATGCATACTTTTCTCAATTCTTCGGCGAATTTCGGCATTTTAATGCAGAAGAACTGCATCACTTCCCTCACTACCTCATCGTTGGTTCCTTTTTTCACAAAATGTGAGCAGATCTGTAAAGATAAGATCACTCAGACAGAGATTCGAGCACAAGCATTTCACATAAGGTCAGCTATACCGCTCATTACTGCCTCCTAATTATCACGGGTCCCAAATTTAATATTTTCAAAAATTCACTTTTAACAGTCAGAGGAACTCAGAGGATTTATTCTTTTGTATGCTAGCAGTTCGCAGACTCTCTTTCCCATATCAGACAGGGTCATATCTTCAGCTTTTAACATGAACATAACCAAAATGCCCCTCATTTCACTGAGAATTTTGCGTCTTTTATGTTCAGATCAGTATCTGAGCCAATTACATGTTTCAGAACAATTTATCGCTTTTCAGCTGATGTTTCTTCCCCACCGAATTCTGCACTAATGCCAAATTTTGCATATTTCTATATCTATCTCCAGCCTTCGCTAAGTATCGGAAAGTGTAGCATTTAGTGGTTTCTGTGCTTTATTCTAAATTTAGGGATGTATTCTTTCAATTTGGCACTTATTTTCTCCCCCCCCCCCCCCCCCCCC